ATCCCAGCAGGCAGCCTGGCTCAGTCCTCTGCTCCAGGAGGCTTAAGTTCCCACGGATGAACTGATTTCTCCCTGCTTTGAACCCCTGACGTTGAGCAGCTGGCTGTGCTCTGCCCGCAGGCTGTCGGATCCCGGTGCTGTGGATGGGTAACGAGTGCTGGGCTGGATTGACTGTGCGGCTCTGCTACCCAGCCTGACAGGAACAGGAGCCAAAAGGATTTCCTGAGGATAAACAATTACAGGCCATGTGTTGAGGGCTCCTTTCTTGCCGGGCTAATTGCTCTGCTCCCAGTAGCTGGTCTAGCCGCATGTGCAGCCCAGAGCATAAATCTGATTGCTGGAGTGACCTGGAGGAGGAGAATACTGCGCATGGGGTCTGGGGCACCTAAAGCTTCTTCTGCCTGGGAGCAAGGGCTGAACCAGGTGATATCTCTGTCTCTTCTCCCTTCCCCCCCTCCCCATTACTTCCTTGTAAATGTTTCTCTGCAGAGCAGCAGGGGCAGGGTTAGAAGACAACAGTGTTAACTTGTTGAGAACAGGAAGAACTTAACTTGAAGAAGCAGGGGCAAACAGGCAGGGTCCCAGCAGCTGGGGCTGAGTGCCTGGCTGCCCAGGGGCTGCTCTCCTGTAGTCAGAGCTGGGACAGGTTCGGGTGGCTGGAGGGGCATGGGGTTACAGAAATGTCACCAAGCATACCATGGCATTTAGATTTTAGTTGTTTTTATAACTGAAGAACCAAGGCTTTGAAAGGACCAGAAAACAACTAGAAAACCAGCAAATTATAGCTGTTTGGGCTGATGCAAGCACTGACAATTGCAAACTTTGAGCTTTTTTATTTTTATTTTTATCCAGTTTGCTCTTTCGCTAATTTCTGCCAGAGCAAATCGCTGCCTGTGCTCTGGAGAGCTCTCTGCCTTTCCAAAATAGCTGCCCGCAAGCAGACGTGTGTGCACAGCGTGAGCTGGGAGGGGAGGGGGAGAGGTCTGGAGGAGGGAAGACCTCGCTGTATTTTCTTTGTGACCGCTGTAAAAGCGTTTGGGCTCTTGTTCAAAATCCTTCTTCTGTTCTCAGCTCTGGAGTGTTCCTGTGATACTGAATTTGAGATGCCGGCAGCATGCTGGTTGAACTTTATTTTGGTCTGCCAAAAAAAAATGCTGCTGCAATGTGAAGGAGGGTTTTGTAACCCTGGCTCCTGCAAGGCAGAGGGAAGAGCTGAGATCCCGAAAACTTCCAGAGGGCAGTGGTTGTGCTTGAACAGTAGCAGCATACTTTCCACAAAATAGCAGCAATTGAGTAAGGTTTTCCCAGTTGGTAGCTGCTGGCTTTGGTCTGTTAGGCATTCTGCATCACAACTGATCCTGACCTTCTGCAAATTACTGCTGAGCTGAAGCTGTAATTACAGACGATGCGGTGTATGTGCTGGGAAAATGTGGTGCTACATGATTTGTGGACAGGCAAAAAAGCACCCGAAAAGCTCTTAGGCTTTTTCATCCCCATAGTGCTTCGTGTCTCTTGGGATGCACAACACAGGAACGCGCCGACCGCCTCCAGCTTTGGTCAGAGCAGGCTTTTTCCATAGCTCAAACTACCAGGTTTGGAGCAAAAGGAAGTTAATTAAAGGGCAGTGAGTGACCCATGAAGTTGTTGGCCAAAGGGCAGGATGGTGACTGGTGGGTGTGAGGCTGAGCAGGAACACGGGCTGCACTGGGGTGCACTGAGAGCCTCGCCGGGATTTCCCAGCTCTGCCAGAAGCCACAGGCATCTCCTTCCTCTGCCACCAGCTGATCTCTTGTATCCCTGCCTGCTTCTGTCACCATCATGGGGGACGTGAGATGACCATGCTGTCCCATATTTTCCAGCCCGTGCTGGTGAGGGGGCAAGGTGGAGGCCCCTTAGCCAAGAGGATTGGGGCAGACCTCCAGCCTCATGCTGCTGTAACAGCACACGTGGCTGGGGCCTCTCATTAGGAGAACTAAGGGTCACTGCCTGTGTCTGGCTCCTCTCGCTGGCAGATTAATCAAAGCCATAAGTGCTCTATTTCCAGGCTCTTTGGCACAGCTCGCTTCCCCACATGTGCTTATCAGGGCCTGTGCCTGCAGGGCTTCCCCCATTGATGCTCCTGGGGCCAGGCTGTGCTTCTGGCTCCAGGAAAGGGCTGGTTCCTGCAGGGAATTTATCTGGAAAAGAAGAAAGAACACTTAGGTTTCCTCTCTCCACCCGTCTTACATCTTTCAAGTAGCTCTTTCCCTTGTTCTCCACACCCTCCATTGCTCTCCGTGCTCTTATCACTGGCTTTACTTGGCAAATCAACTTTTCCAGGAATCTTGGTTGGTTTGGGTTCTGCTCTTCCCAAGCCCATTGTCCTTGCTGAAGGTGACAGTGCCGTATCCATGGGTGCATGCAGCAAGGGAAAGGGGACCTTCTGTTGCTGCTCTGTGCCTTGGCTTTTGTTGAGAACAGTGTAATTTGGGTAGGGGATGCTCTGCTGGGTACAAGGGGTAAGGTTCAGGCGTTGAGCCCCTTGCAGCATGGTTATGTGCTGATCATGCTACCCTTGCTCTTGGTGTAGAAGATTTGTTTTTTTTTTTTCTTTTTTTTTTCCCATGGCATTTTTCCTTTTTTCATCATGTTGTCCTTCCATGCCCCTTGTAGGTGCAAGTTGCTTGGTGGTCATTGGGATGGATCCCCTGAGCACCTGATCAGAGCCACTACTGTTACTGTTTTCCACTTTTCTTGTGTTTAAATGGCAACTTTCTTCCGTGCTCTGCTCCTGGCCACCCCTTCCTGTACATGTGTCCGCCCAGCAGAAGTCACCTTGGTCCCAGTTCCTCTGTCTGCCCTGAGCTTTGCTCAGCTCCAGCTGCTCGTTGCCGGACCTATGGGTTCTCAGAGCTGCAAACGCAGGGATATTCCCCTTAGGACCAGGCAGGTTATCAGCTCTCGCAGATCGATGGAGCTCGCTCTTTAGATCGGGAGATCTGCCTAGCATGTGGTCCGTGTGGGTAAGCATAGCCTTAGCTGCTAAATTATTAAGTGTTTTGTCAAAGCGTTGCTTGTACTCACACACAAGTGACTCAGTGCACAGAGTAATATAAAAATTGGCAGGAAGAATTTCAATTAAAAATATATTGGTTGGGTAACAGTGCTGAGCAGGCGGGGAGGTCGGCGTGCTCAGCCGCTGCTGCGGCTGCCTGGCAGTTTGAGGAGGCTATGTGAAATTTGTGGGAGCTTTTTAGAGTTGTACACATGTTGTTCTCCTTGGTTCTGAGGATAAATGAAACAGAGCAGGCTGGTTTGGGAGTTGTTATTTTTGTTGGCTTTTTCTTAGTAAATCGTGTCGCCTTCTCTACTACTTCTGTGATACGTGGAACAATGCAGGAGTGATTAGGCTTTAAACTATTCATGAGATCTAAGCCGAGTAATGTGGTTTAATCTTTCTTCTGCATATATTTAATATAAGCTGTGATTTCATTCAAATGGTTCAGCTTTGTACTTGTACAGTATCATTATCTCTGGTTTTGGTAGATGGCTTTTTTTAATGCCTGTGGTTTCTGTTAGATCTGTTTCTGTGAGTTATTTGTCTTTACTCTGTGGCTTGAAGATATCTTCAGCACACATGAAAGGAATTCCTTTTGATTAGTTTTTTGGTTGATGTGCTTCTTGCAACCATACTAAATTAAATGTGTTTCTTTTTTCCCCCACTACTTTTTCTGAAGGAAGCAGGTAGCACAGATGCTGGTTTCCATAGCTCACTTCTGCAGAGCACGAATTCATCCTGTGTTGAACTTGGTCTTTGCCATTAATTTTTACCCAAGTTTGCTAATTTTTACCAAGATGACCACATGCCAACCTGTTCCTGTGCAGGGTGCCGCAATAGTTTCACTGAAATTTGGGAGGTCTGATGAAGGAGTGGGAGGTGCACAGACAGGGAAGGAGAGAGGTACAAATTTAGGCTAAGAAGGTTGGAATTGTTTGGAGTGGAAAGCTTAATTCTGCCATCTCTGTGTAGTGCTCTGATTGCTTCAGGTCATAAGTGCTGTTGGTAATTAGCTGCCCTCACCTGGCCCATTGCCATCAAGCAGTAGCTGTTCCCAGCTCATCCCAAAAAAGTTGATAGCAGAATGCTGAGCCTCAATTGACTTTCATGGTTGTATTGATAGATGGGCTTTTAAAATTTGGACAACGTAAGAAAATAGGAATCATCCCTGATGCCTCCTTTTTGGGGCTGCAGTTTCAGACAGTCAGCCGTTCTCTGTTAAGAAAAAAAGCCACTAAGATATGGGACACTTGGGTTCTGCTAGAATATTTAAAAGAAATGTGTTTATCTGAGTTGGTCCTTCCCCTCCGAGCCACGTGCCTAGGGGTCTCTGGACCTGCACAGAGCAAATGAGACTGAAATGCACTGCTGCTTAAGCAGAAAAGCCATCCATTCTCCTGAAGTTCTGTTGACATAACGGGCATTTGTATAACAGTTAAAATGTGTGCTTATTCTTTTAAAATAAACTTTCTGTGCAGTGAGTTTGTGATGCGAAACCGTCTGCTTTGTTATTTCTGTTTTTATTTTGGATGTAAAATAGCATCCAAAAATAGCATTAAGCTCTTAAAAAGTTCAGTCCTGAGTCTGTGTCCTGAGGGAGGCAGGGAGATGTTCCAGGTGGGCTTGAGGGTTTGGCAGGGGAAAAGCCTGAAGGAAGGTGCAGCTTCTAACCCTTGTGGGGCCCTGGGGAGAAGCCTGGAGCCTGAAGCTTTGCCTTGAATCAAAGAATCAGTAAGCATGGAAAAGACCATAGAGATCACCTAGTCCAGCCATCAACCCATCACCACTGTGATGTAGCCACTTGGTTTGGCTGAACGGTTCCCCGCTATTGGTGGGATGGAGAAGTTAACTAAAGAACAACCAAAAGCTGGAAGCTGTTGCTACAAATATTAATTTGTTGGGGTTTTTTTTTGTTTGTTTTGAGCTAGAAGCTAAAAGTCCCCTTTTCTCATTGTCCCAACAGTGTGCTGGGGAGGAGAAGCGGGTCGGTACACGAACTGTGGTGGTCGGGCACCGGCCGGTTTCAGAGGCAGATGCCTACGTGGCACAGAAGTTCTGCGACAACAGGATTGTCTCCTCCAAGGTAAGCTATCTGCTGGGCTGGATGAGAGCAAAGCACCTGCAAGCTGGGGTATTTCCTTGTGGTTTTTAGGCATTCCCTTTTTATGGAAAGGGCAGGCCAGGTGTCATACAGCATGTGAGATGACAGCTGTTTAGATTTGTGAAAGGCAGTGGGGGTTATTTTATAAATGGACATATACATAATTCCCCTGCCTTTTGTTTTGTGGGTTTTTCTCTCTTCAAGCAGATCAAAAATAACCATGTTTGCTTTATCCCTTTGGATGAAAGGGGAAACATTCATACTGTATTAATATAGCTTTTGTTTGTTGTGGAAAACTATGGTGACACCCGTCTACCTTCTGCTGAGCTTTTTCCATGACATTCATGAAGTTCTTTCAAGAGATTTGAAGCCAATTCAAGTGAAATATCAAACAAGTGGCATCCGATATTGTCAACACAGCTGGATGCATGTAGTGTTACTTAGGAGCCATGATGCTGAGCATACTGTTAAGCTTCTACCATCCTCAAGCTGTACAGGCTTTCTTCCTCTCCTTTCTTTATTTATACAGCTTGGATCTTGTTTGTACCTCATGACTCTGTGCTGCATTTATGCTGGGGACAAGTCTGAAGTCTAAATACCTTCAATGTGTATAGCATTCCCATTGACTTTCCCCTGATGTGCAAGAGGGATCCTTCAGAGATCACCTTCCCATGCTTTAGTTCTCTCTCTGATAAATGGTTTGTTTTAGCATTAATTCAGTAGTTCTTCTCTGATTTATTTTTGAATATTGTGCCCTTTTTCTTTTTTTTTTTCCATTTGCATTTGCTCACATGGACTCTTCCTATGTGAGCAGTGTTTTCTTATTAAATGAACATTGGTTTTGAGACTTGGCTGCTTAATATTCATTGTTTATTCAAAGCAGAATAAAAGATCAGATATTAGACCCATTATTTTCCATGTTGTTCTTAAATTCTACATTTTCTAAGCAAATGATTCAGCTGCATTTTAAAATGATACCAAAGGGCAGCTTAATAATGGATCTGCATGGGCAAGAAGGCATTTGTCTAAGCAGGACAGCAACTCCAGATTTTCTTTTAATTTGGAAAAAAATCTTTGCAGTGTGCATTACCTTTTCATTAAGTTGTGTCTCCTGAAATGCCCATGTAGAAGCTGTTTGTTGAAACCAATCTCATGGTGTTTATCTTTTTTTGCTCTCCACTGTCTCCAACCGTGTGGTTTGGGTTACTTTGACAAAACAGGAAGAGTTGACTAACTTAAAAACCAGCAAACGAAGAACCACCTGACTCCAAAACAATTTCAGCTGTTTAATGAAGTGGTGGAGAGGGCCAGAGTTTGTGATGCAGTGCTGGAAGTGGAAGCTTGGAGCTCAACCACAGCTGCATTGTGCCCATCGAGGGGGATGGCAGCAGTGGTTCCTCTACCTGCTGCCATGGTTTACCTCAACTTAAAGGGAGAACTCGTGTCCAGTCATGTGCAGATACTTCCCATTTGCAGCCTACAGTAAACTCTGTGTCTTGATCTCTTTGTGCTGGCACCTGGGAGCTGCAAGGTGCCCAACAGCCCATTCCTCTCTCCCCGCAGTACACAGTGTGGAACTTCCTCCCGAAAAACCTCTTTGAGCAGTTTAGGAGAATTGCCAACTTCTACTTCCTCATCATCTTCCTCGTGCAGGTAAGAGCCTTCATTGCCAAACTGGGTGCCAGGGGTGTTTCTTTTTACTTCCTGATGGTAAGCACAACTTGAACACCAAGAATTGAGCTGAAACCTGCCTCTTGATGCTCATAAATGCAGTTGTTTTCCTTAAAAGCTGTACTATAGTTCTGGTAAGCCATTCAAAGCATAGTAACAATTACAGTTTTGGGGCCTGTCTGAGGCAGTATTCAAATGTCTGCTGAAATAATTTAAAACTATGTCAACTCTTCAGGCATTTACATGAGTCAACCAGTAAAGGTATGTATGGTTAATGCTGCAGAATTAAGATCTAGGATTGTGGGTTTTTTTTATCATCTTTGTTACTTTTGCTCTATAGCAACATGAATATTCCAGATAATATGAAGTTCATACATCTTAGTTACAGTGAGTTTCAAGGCAGCCAGGGGAGAGGGGCTGTATTCAGTAAAATTCAGAAAACAAACATAGCAAGAGCTTTGGGAATATGATGTTCAGGATGCTGTGCTCCACAGACCGAAGAGCAGATTTTATACACGGGTGAACTTGTGCTCTGCTTTGTGCCTTCGCTAAGGGACAAGCTGAGCAAACCCAAATATTTGTTGTCTGTTCTGTCAACCAAAAAGAAAATTGGGCTGTCAGAATGCATTTCTGGGGAAGGAATGGGAAGTATGGAAGACTCACCACAGTGCATTTATTCACCTTTTAAATCCCATACTCAAGCACGAGCTTTACCAGATACCTTACTGTAGGACTGGTGTTGAGGCATCAAAAATTTTCCCCCAGCAAGCTCACAAGTAGCACTGTGAACAGCTTGCATTTAGATGGCATTCCTGGAATTTTGTTGGGTCAGGTCTCAAGGTATCACTCTCCCCAAGTCTGCATGTTTAAAAGACCTCACATTTTTATCCTGACAGCAACGAGTTATGGTTTATGGCCATTTCAGCAGCTGCTAGAGAAGCAGGGGATCCCAAGGTGACGGCTGTGCACAGCTCCTGGCAGTGCTGCAGGAGGGCAGCTAACCCTGGCATCAGCTGTTTGCCATCGCTTGATTTTACTGGCGTCGTTCGCTCGTGTCAGAGGGAATTTGTAACTTGGCTGGCACTGAAGTTGGGATGTCCTGGTGGAGATGGCCTTTCAGTGATGTGTTGTGTTTGGTCTGCTGACCCTCTGGACGTTAAGGACACGGCTTGCTCTTGATTCCACTTGCAGGACTCACCATAGTTTTGCTGCTTGCCTGTTTTAATCACAGATATGTGAGAGAAAAGTCTTGCTCTTCCTCCTTGTTTTTACTCTGTGAGCTGTGATTGCCTCCAAAATAAGGAAGCAACTGTCATGTTCTGTTGGAGGGGAAAACCCAAACGCAGTGGAACAATAATCCCATGACACTAACACACTTGCTACCCCATTGAGTCCCCAGGGGTCCCTGACACTGACACTCATCGTTTCTGGGTCTGCTGGATCTTAAAAAAAAAAAAAAAAAAAAAAAAAAAAAAAAAAAAAAAGCACTCACAACAATTCTAGTCACTTAAAATATCAATAGTCATAGCGTGGTAAATGGATCTAAAGCTTCAGTGTTTATGTTTATCTTCAAATTACTGTAAATTATTAGAGTTGCTCCCAGTGCTGCTTTAGGAGCACAGCCTGGCAGTACTTGTTGCCAAGCTGCAAGTTCAGCTCTTGGTTGAGAGAGAGGTAGGAAAAGTACACACATTAAACATAAGATGCTAATTAGTGCACTAATAGGGATACAGATAACTGTTTCTTTGGCACTTCTGTTGCAATACCCAGGGGAAACTGAGTTCCCTGGAGGAAACAGTGCCCAGAGTGTGGTCAAGGTGTGTTTGTAGAGAGCAAGCTGGAAGCAATCAGCTTATTTAGGAGGTGCTAGGAATGAAAGATGTTTCTTACAATAGATAAAGATGATTTGTGGATTGTGGTCTTCAGTCTTGTAAACAATGAATTTGGTAATAACTGTTAAGTAACAGAAGGATTTTGTTACTTTTAAGTGGATCCAAATTAAGCTGTTGAAGACCTAAAATATCTCAAAAATAGCTTCAGGGGAGTTTGCCTTTGGTTTGGCATGCAGTTCCTGCATCCCTCTGCTTCCCACCAGCAGCCAAGGAGGAGCAGCAGTGTTGAGCCATGGCTCTGTATGGAGTGCAGCAGCAACCTCCATATACATCATTGGGTTATTCCAGGGACTTAATTCAATACATATGTTCATTTGTGTGGACAGAAATCATATTGTTTGTTTAAATACATGCAGCTGTATGTTGTCCAGTGCAGAAAACTCACGTGGCATAGCAGTGAGAGACTCAGGAAGCCCTGGGCAGATATTCCTCAGTTCTCCCTTGCTCTGCCCGCTTCCTGCGAGATAAATGTAGGCTGACTGACCCCATGCTTCAAGTGGCCATCTGGGTGTGCCATCCATAATTCCCATTGCTCACTTGAGGTTCTCCAGAGCGTGGTTCTTGCAGCCTTCTGTTTGTAAGCTGTGACACTCATTAGGATCAACCAGGGGCTGTGTTCCTGAAGGACTTGCTGTGCTTACAGCAATCGCTCTCACTCTGCTTACCTCACACCCCTGATCTGGCTGCTGCATGTGCTTTGTGCTGAGTAAAATTGCAGCGTGCAGCATTTCAAAGAGTTAATTTCCACGTAGCTTGCTCCCAGTGCTGCGCTTGAGGCAGCCTGAAACAACAAACATACAGATGCTGTTGTTTGTGAGCATGCTAGGAGAATGCAAACAAACAGAGCACAACAAAGGCCCTTTGTGGGACACAAAGCCTTTCTGCTTGCTTTGCTTCTCTGTCCCTTTCCCTCCTAGCCCTCCGCATCTGCCTCCTGTTCTCCCTCCTCTCCAGGGATGCCAAGTAAACAGCCAAATTCCTGTACCTTAGTTTTGGGGTGTCCCTGGGGAAGCCCTGCGGTCTGCTCTGGTGGCTTTGGTCCCTGCACAGTGTTTGCAGTGATGCTGGGAGTGGTGCTGCTGGCGGTCCCTAAGGCCTGCTGGGTGCAGGCGTTGCCACCTCTCAACTCTCTGTTTGCTTTTGGGCTGCTGCCCTCCTGCTGCTAAAATTATGCTGGCACTGAGCAGGCACGAGGCACCTGCTTTTGGAGGCCCTCAGCTGTGAGATGAAAGGCTTTGCGTGCTGTCCCTTGGGAGAGGACACCTCTGTGATGAATTTCATCAGTGTGGAAGTGGTGCAGCTCTTCCTGCTCTGATGTGAATCCATCCCAATGATGAACCTGTTCTGCTGTTCTTCCCCTTCAGGCCAAGTCATGATGCTGTCAAACAAACAGTGGTTTCCCGCGTCCCCAGGGTTTAATTAAAGTTGAAGAGGCTCTGCTGGGCTTTGTTCCTGGGGGGCTCGAGGCCCAGCATGAGTGCTGTGCCCAGCTCAGGGACTCCAACTGCTGACCCTCATGTGATCTCTATGCTGTGCTTAAATCATGCTCTGAACTCCGCATCAGAGCCCAAAGGCAAAATGTTCATCTCTGGTTTATTTAGATGTTTGTATTCCATTTCACAGTGTATTTCCTTGGTAAATAAGGCTGGTTTGTGTCACTTCTAGCATCTCAGTGTCAGTGGTTCAACAGGACCGGTGCTGCTCTCTTGCTTGCAGCTGCCCATGATTTGGGGTTTGAATGTGCCTACTCTTCACTGCCAAAGAGGAGAAATGTTTTTTCCTGATTTTCAGTGAGCATCTTGCTCTTCACATATGGATGCTGCTTCTGCCCCATCCTCCTTCCCTGCCTTGGTTCTTTCCAAGTGTACCAAGCACCGTTCTGCACCCATGGCCAGAGTTCTTGCTTATTCTGCTGCCCGAAGCAGGTTGTCACCAGTCTGCTCTTACTGTCTGCAGGTGATAGTGGACACCCCGACCAGCCCGGTAACCAGCGGCCTTCCGCTCTTCTTCGTGATCACCGTCACAGCCATCAAACAGGTACCTGCAGTAATTTGGAGAGGAAGATAACCTTCCTGTAGGCGTGTTCTCGTGCTCTCTGGGATGTGTGGCAGAGTAAATAACCAACATGGGCTGGTAGAGTTTGGGAACCTCTTCTCAGAAGGTCTCTTCGTGCTGAATATTGGTGTATCTTGTTTGGCATCCACCTCTTTGTATTGCTGAAAGCAAACTATGGTGGTTAGTAAAGATAAGTAGTGTGGCTGCCTCTCTAGGTCTGACTTTACTTGAGTTTTTCTTCTCTTTTTAGAAATGTTCTTGAACTCTTTGCAGAGTACAGAGATGTGCTCCAAATATAGCCAGTGCTCTGCTGCCTTGTTGGTAAATAGAAGGGGCAGTTCAGTTCAAACTCAGCTAGCCTTGAAAATATGTAGTCCTCTTTCTTGTAGTGTTGAAAGACCTCTTTTCTCCTATCACATGCAAATGTGCCACTCTGAATTTCCTCCACAGAAGCACTAAATAATAAGATAAGTTTCTTCTGCAGGGGCCAGAGAGGGAGAGCTAGAGTAAAATCCATCTGCTTCAAGTATGAATGTTTTATTCTTTTAGTGAAGACTGAAGAGAAGAGACTTGTCCTGCGTTACCATAGGAAAGAGTCACAGGGTGCTAAGCATATTATTCATATTATCAGCCTGTTCTTGCCAACACTGAGAATAATAGAAACATGTTACAGTAATTTAGCTGCTCGTTGCATGCACTGCATATAGATTATTTTTCGTGTGTTATTTTAATCTGTTCTGAATCTGTCAAATATGCATATGAAGTTTTTAAAGTAAATTGACTCAGTCTGAGCTACTCTGGTTGATGTTTAGTCAGGCATGAAGGAGTTCCGAGGACTGTTTAACTTACTCATTTTTTTTCCCCCCCTCTCCTTCTTTCTCCCTCCTAATGCATCCTATTTGATTAGTTTACTGCTCCATTATGGGTTCTGATGCTTGTATTTGTGTGCTTAGGGGTACGAAGACTGGTTGAGACACAGAGCTGACAATGAAGTGAACAAGAGTAATGTATTCATTGTTGAAAATGCGAAGCAAGTGCAGAAAGAGAGCGAAAAAATCAAGGTAACCATTAATAGACAATTCAGATGTGGTTATCACCAGGTGGGACATTGGGGTCTATGATATACGCTGATGCCTGCAGCAGGGATGTGCTGTGGTCTCCCTGAGCTGCACAAGGTTTCTCTGACTTTTGCGTGAGCTACTCTAAGAGTCCTTCCCAGTTAATAAGTGAAGCTTCCTTTGTTTGACTGCTTTTGAGAAGCTGTCTTGCAAAAGCTGTGCCTGTGCTGACAAATGACAGATCTGTCAGTGTTCCGCATTTGTCTGGGACAGGCAGTCCTCTTCTATTTCCAACTCTCTCAAGGACACCAGGAAAGCACACCGGCTTTGACGTTAATTTATCACCCTGCACTTCAGATTAGTGCAGAGTCTCTGACTTCATCAAGATTCAGCAGAGAACTGAATAATAGTGGTGCTGCGTGGGCAGGCTGCCTTGGCACTGGGTGGGCTCTGATGCTGGGGCACCTGCATGGCAAGGGCCAGGCTGCTGGGGTTCTCGGCAGGCAGAGAACTGATCCTCCAAGTAATTTTGACTTTTAGTCTTGATCTTGAACACCCTGATTCCTCTTTTAGCCAAGGTGATTTCTTTTAGAGTTTGAGAGGAGCTAAATCTGTAAGCATCTAATAATATCAGAGAGGCTTTTTTCATTGAAATGTCTCTCTTCTTGCAGGTTGGAGACATAGTAGAAGTGAAAGCAGATGAGACCTTCCCCTGTGACTTGATATTTTTGGCCTCAAGTAGTACTGATGGGACCTGTTACGTCACTACAGCGAGTCTGGATGGCGAGTCAAATTTCAAGGTGATGGGAATGGATGGGCAGCATGCAACCAAGGCTAGTGCTTGTGCAGAGAGAGAGAGAGTGTGTGTGTGTGTGTGTGTGTGTGTGTGTGTGTGTGGTGATTAATTGGAGGATGCTCCTGCAGCACACATCCCCACGGCCATGGCTATATTTAACATCTCCTCCCTCCGTCTGTTCATCCAGTGAGTCAGCAGCCAAGTGCTCTGTGGATTGTTTGTTTTTCTTTGTTTTCTTAAACAACCATTTCTGATGGCACTGCCCCAAATTGATTCCGTCTTTATCAGAATAAATGTCTATAGCTAAATACCGCCAATAAATTATTATAAGGCTTAGCTGCATTATTGTCCGTCCTAGGCTATGTGTACTGCTTTCCTGCTCCTATTGCATGTGTTGAGATCTGATGCATATAGGTAAAGCAGCAGCTACAGCTGTTTGAGCTTATAGTTCTCTTTTCAGTACCTGCCAGCGCTTCTGTTATTTAATGGACATATTTTGGTGTGATTTGGGACTTTCTGAGGCACTGCATCTTGTTTGATTTGGGGAATTTCTCACCAGTGAGCAGAAAACTCCCTCTCTTTTTCAGTTGGGTTTTTTGATTATTTTTTTTTTATTTGTGCTTTTCTTTTGTTGCTTTTTGTTTGTTTGCCTTCCTCTTCCCTGAATTAGAAGTGAAATTTGATATTAGTCTTGCTCAATCTCCTCTTCGGTGTGTTTCCTTTCATTATTTTCCTCCCTCTCCGAGGGAAAGAAATAATAAAGACATGGTCACAAGACATGAGAATTTGTTCACAGCCGAATAGTTAGGCAGATTTAAGCAACTGCAGTAATAAGAATGAAAGTTACTTTGAAATTTCATGATGCTTTCCAGCACACTCTGAAGTTGGGGAATACCAGTGTTGATCTAACTGTATGGGGTCTCCAGCTTGTCTCTTAATTGGTGGCTGTTAATTGGTGCTGATAATTTTGTGTGTGAGCTGATGCAGTGTTGATGTACTGAGTGGTTGTACTAGTGAGGAGGAGTTCAGCTTTGGAGAGGTGTCAGGCCATAAGCAGATATCCATGTTAAATAGGCAACTGCTTGTTAGTGTCAGGTGTACTGTGTGCAAGAGATAAATTTTTCAGAGTCTTGGCTCTTAGAACCTGAGGTTTTTAAGCGGAATGCTATATTTCTATATTAAGCACTGTATTTTTCTCAGTTTGTGGATTCCTGTAGGTGAAGGGGAGCTGTCTCCTGTTTCCTGACAAAATTAAGGTGGAGACTGAGTTGGAAGGTGCAGGAGGGAATAGAAAAACAAGTGCTTTTTGGGGAAACAGCTAAGATTAGGAACCAGGGTGTGCAGCACAGCTAGGGTGAGGGAAGCACATGCAGGTACTCACAAAACCTCCTCCACACTGGTAGCAGTTGCCTACCTGTTGGATGTTTCTTGGTGCCTGTTAGGTCATGCATATACAAAAACATGCCTAGGAACTGGAGCAGTTATAAAATGGATTGTGGCAGGGCTCTGTCTTTGCAGCATGAATCTTCAGCTGTGTGTTATCTCAAAGAGCATGTGTTTTCTAAATAGGCTGAGGGACTGTGGATGTAAAGATTGTGGGAGTGATTAGGAGGCTGCTTTGAAGCATCATTCAGTATTTGCACAGTGTCCATGGAGACATAAGCAGTGGATGCAAAGCTTGGCACGGGGGCCTGATGTGATATTGGGCATTGTGTGAACAGTTCTGGGCTGCTTCACAGGAGCTGTGATTTATAGCAGAAGTGTGTGTGCTTCCAGTACAAAAATCCAGGCAGGTCACCAGCATTCAGGTGGGTGTTTATAGCATCACGACCGTGTGCCTCGTGGGAGGAACTGCTACACTGTGCACAAGGAGAGGAACACAAATGAGTCGAGGAAGCTCGTTAATAAATTTGTTGATGAAGACAGATTAAGGCAGCCTGTCGCACAGCCTGCAGTGGTTCAGATGCTCCGGTAGCTCCTATAAATAGTGTTTGCAAGCAGTGCACACATTCTTGTGCAGTTCTTAGCTAATTGTGAACGATGGAGCTTCACAGCACCTAAAAATAGCTTTGGGGCTGCCAGTGCTCAGCCTGCTCCCCAGCAGCGGGGCTGCCCTCTCCTTACCCCAGGAGCATCCCAGGGGCATGCTGGGGAGATGAGAGATACTGGGTGAGGAGGGACCCACCTGAGCTGTTCCCAGGGCTGCCACTGAGCTGATCATCTTGTGTTTCTCCTCCCAGACTCACTATGCAGTGCGGGACACCACCGTGCTCTGCACGGATGAAGCCATAGACTCCCTTACAGCCACCATTGAGTGTGAGCAGCCACAGCCAGACCTCTACAAGTAAGTGTGAGCATCCTCACCACTCCGGTGAGTTGCCTGTCCTGCAAAGCCTCAGCCTGATCAGTAGAAATAAGTCATAGCTCACTAAAATGAATGATGTACCTTCCAAGTAAAATGTGTTGGCTGAAACTGCTTCTAGGATTAGACTGTCTCAGTTGTTAAACTCTTTTAAAAGGAGGTTTGCTGCTGTGTGTTTTACTCCTTCATTCAAGCGGGCTGGGGGTGGCATCCAGAGAAACTCAGGCTGGGTGGGCTGTGCATTGGCCCTTTCAAAGCCTTCACCTCTCAAGTGCACGAACTTCCATGTTAGTTCCCATCTCCTGATGGTGCCTCTTGAGTGCATTTGTAGTACTCTTTTATAATATTAATGTGTTTGTAATATAGGATTCTCATGTATTTTTTTAATTACAGATTTGTTGGAAGGATCATCATGTACAGAAGCAACCAAGAGCCTGTAGCCAGGTTAGTCTTGCAGCTCTCACTTTCCCCCCTCAAAGATGCTGGGCATCTGAATAGACATCTACATCACATTTCCAGGATCTGGATCCCAGTGCTTCAGCATGCAGGGCCACCACACGTGTGCATGTGGACTGGGGCATTTCCAGTCTCCTTCACTGGTTGTCCTGAGCCCTATTAGCTGAAGAAAGGGAAGCAGCTGAGGGTCACGGGTAGGACATTCAAAGAGGAATAAAATTACATCTTGTATGGTGGTGCTGCTGATTGACTGCGCTGAAGGCATTTTCAATGCTTTTAAAACAGTTTTTACATAAGTACCAGGACTTGTTAGATCTGAACATTTGGCACTTATCCTTCCAAAACTTCACTGAGAATCCACCATTAAATTTCGAACTTTGAGCACTGAGGATAACTTGCGTGAAATGAAACGGAAATAAAAGTATGTAAAAGGAAAAACAGGCAGAGTCATGCAGCGTCCAATTTAAAGCTTAAATAAAGTGATCAACTCCTAAAAATCATCGGTTTAGCTTTATAATTCATCTCTAGGATTTAAACTGTAAAGAACTTTGAGTGACATTCTGCTATAACCTTTTATTTTTAGGTCTTTGGGTCCTGAAAACTTGTTGCTGAAAGGTGCTACCCTCAAAAATACCAAGAAGATTTATGGTGAGCAGTTTTTAAAAATTATGATTATGTAAATAGATCAGATGAGCAACTACATTTGTCATTATTTATCATGAAATCTAGGGAGGAAAAATACTTATCTGCAGGGCTCTGCAGTTGTTTTTGTACACCAGCTGACTGCAGAGCTATGTTGATTGCAAAGTTTGGGGGTGAAATGCGGAGGTGCTGCTTATATCTGCAGTGCTGCCAAGCTGTGCAGGTTGTGTTAATGGACCTCAGCAAGCTGTTTTTTGTGTCTGGGTTACAGAGAGCAGAAAGCTGCTTCCAGCTCCCCTGTTAAATGCTTGTGCCGGAGTCACAGGTCTAGACACCAGTAATTTAGGATGAAGGCTGTTAGAGAAGACTGATCTTTTTTCTAATTGTGCACGATCCTTCAGCTGGTCAGTGCTCAGGGATGCATGTAACTAACGTTACTTAGCAGGCACTGAGCTTTCTGCAGTTGAGCAGCCCCTGGGTAATGCCAATTTCTAGAACTGGGAATCAAGTTCTATGTAAACACTGATGCCCTTGATGGCTCGGTGAAAGCTGGGTCCCTTATGGGTTGCGAGTCCCTGATGAGTTCTGCTTTAATCCTCTGCAGGAGTGGCAGTCTATACTGGAATGGAAACAAAAATGGCTTTGAACTACCAAGGGAAATCTCAGAAACGCTCTGCTGTGGAAAAGTGAGTACAGCAGGCAAAAACTGGTAAAAGCTGTGGCTTTCTTCATGGGTGATTTGCACAGAAATAATCCCCTAATCTGCCGCCTGTTGTTTCAGATGCTTTCTGATTTTCTGTGCAATCTGGGCGTTTGATCAAGCATATCTTACAAGTAGCTGCATCATTTAGTAGCTTTTTCCTTAAAATAAAAAAACGTAGGGAATATTAAGTTATATGAACTGACCATGAATATTAGCACTGTCCAAAGCACTTGTTCTGTAATTCCCTCCTGAAAAGTAAGGAAGGCTTGTTCCTGCTTATTTGCATGATTTTTCTATGTGAAAGTAGTTGCAAGAATTTTAAAAATAAACCTATTTTTCAGATCTATCAACGCTTTCTTGATAGTGTACTTATGCATCCTATTGAGCAAAGCTACTGTGTGCACAACTCTGAAATATGTCTGGCAGAGTAATCCATTTAACGATGAGCCTTGGTACAATGAAAAGACTAAAAAAGAGAGAGAGACGTTCAAGGTAAATGGATTTGTATTTCAGCACCTCCTCCAGCCGTATTTATTCTGACAGTTATATTTAATCTGATCACGTCTGCTGCCACTCCTGTGATGCCTGCTTGCTCTTTGGAGGCGCTGTCACTTACTGCAGTCTCTCCTGTTGTTTGTGTTTGTCTCCTGTCTTGATTACTACCTGCTTCTCTTGCTTGTGTGCAGTGAAGCAAGAGCTTGCAGTAACCCCGCTCGCACTCTGCTGTCCCCATCACACTGGGGGCAGGCGAATGCATGCAGGCTACTGACAGCAGGAGGATAACATCGTTTCGACCACACAGAGATATTACATAAATGCAGCAGCTGATTTAACCTGGATCCTTATCTGAACTTGAGCTATCTTTCAGCTTTGAGTAGATAAACTTAAATTGAGGCCATGTCAGCCAGGTTCTTAAACTTGCCGAGACGCATTCAGCCAAGCCTGAAAGAGTGAATGCGAGTGGGTGGGAGTCAGCTGATGTAGTTGATTGTTGAGTAGGACTTCGGGGATGTCACAGAATCAGTCTTGACTGTTCTCAAACCGCTTGCTGCAGATACCTGAGATGAGAATCAGCTCGTAGCAGAATATTCTGAAAATGAATATATGTACTTGAATAAAATGTAGATTTGATCAGGTGGAAACAGCTCTGTGTGCTCTTCTGTTACACTCTCATATATCTGCAAATGGCAAGGAGATTTTCTACATCAGAGGAAAGTGCAATTTGGTCCTGTGTCTTAACTGTATTCAGTTATTTTCAGAGGGCTTTTTTCTATTTAACATTTAAAAAAAAATGCTGTCTCCCTGAGTTATGCCTGACGAGCACTGACTGCATCTTCCTCTTGTCTTTCCATTGCAGGTGTTGCGGATGTTCACAGACTTCTTGTCCTTTATGGTCCTCTTCAATTTTATTATCCCAGTTTCCATGTATGTTACAGTAGAGATGCAGAAGTTCTTGGGCTCCTTCTTCATCTCTTGGGACAAAGAGATGTACGATGAAGAAATAAAAGAGGGAGCGTTGGTGAACACCTCAGACCTGAACGAGGAGCTTGGACAGGTCAGAACAAGCTCTGTTTGCATCTGCTTTGAGGGACATCCCCATGTTGGCAGGGGAGCAACAGCACAGGAGGAAAGGCAGAAGATTCTGCTGTAACCACCAGCATGCACACCATTACTGTCCCTCCTGCTGTGGTGGTCGGTGCTTCTGGTGGTGGTTTCTGTGCATCTGTATGTTTCAGAGCTCTTGATAGCTGTGAAAACCAACTCATGGGCCACTGCTGCTGGAATAACGTTCTCCCTGATAACAAGTCTTGTTGTGGCAGTCCCATGCTGTCCCAGCAGTACAGGGCTTCGGCCAGACTGGTGGCACTTTCCATTTAATGTGATTCTGCTTGCGGCACGAAGTGGGTAAGGTTATAAATAGTGTATGAAGGAGGAGGAACTGGGTCATGCCAATTGTTTCCATACTGGGGAATATCAGGCACAGCACTTAGTGTGTCAGGATGGTTTGCTTTCACCGCTTCAATTAAAAATTAAAAATTCTCTGTCTCTTCAAGGATTAGCAAACACACCTACCCAGTCATCTCCCTGGGCATGCAGTGCATGTGCAGCCATGCTACTGCTGGCTTTGCTGGAGCAGCTATAGCTTCTCTTTCTGAGTGTGGGATATGTACAGTGCCTCCTGCTTTTTATTTTGCTTTTAAAAATACTGTCAGTTTGGAGAAGCAATTATGTGTGTACATAATATGGCACCAAAAAGGAAGTCCCACAGGGGAGGCAACAGACCTTCAGCAGCAGCTGTATGAGCACTGGGAGCCAGAGCAAAGCAGCCAAGAAGTAGAATGAAGGAGAACAAAGGGCCTTGAAGGAAGTTTTAGAAGTCTTCGGAAGCTGCCTCCTGACAGCTGTGCAACTGATGGAAAAATGAAGGATGAGGGAAGTGGTAGAATGCCCAGTGGTGCCCACACAAGGCACTTGCACGTTTCTGAGGACCAGGTTAGGAGAGCAGCAAAGGGCTGGCACAGATGTATCAAAATGCCCCAGCCTTGCAGTTTTTGGAGGGCTGCTTTCACACATGGCCCTGCTGCAGTGATGGCTGCTGCAGTACATTGAGGTGGGTGTCTGGTCTTTCTGCTCTCTTCTAGGTGGAATTTGTCTTCACCGACAAAACAGGGACACTGACGGAGAACAGCATGGAGTTCATTGAGTGCTGTATAGATGGGCACAAGTACAAGGACTGCATTTCGGAGGTTGATGGCTATTCGCAGACTGACGGACCCCTGAAGTACTATGGCAAAGCAGAAAAGGTGAGAAATCTGTGTCTTGATGTGTTTTGCTGGTGGCTCCAGGCTAGGGGTCAATACATGACCTATTACTGCTGAAGTGTTGTGGGGAGGGCACTGGATTTTTTTGTTTTGAAATACATACACACAGCAGGGGTAACCAGCTGCTCAGAGGGGATGGGATGCATGGCACAGAGCTGGTCATGGGCCTTTTCTCCATCCCTAGAGCCGAGAGGAGCTGTTCCTGCGAGCCCTCTGCCTGTGCCATACCGTTCGGATCAAACAAGCAGACCAGGTGGATGGGCTGATAGGACATCCTGAGTGCAAAAACACCTACATCTCCTCTTCCCCAGATGAAATTGCTTTGGTGAAAGGTGCTGAAAAGTAAGAATCTGATGGTGTTTTGGTGTTTTTTTTTTGTTTCTTGTAAATCTGCTGGAAATGCAGAGGATCATGTATGGAGCCTCCTGGCACTTCTGCAATTGTGATGTCCAGCTCCCCGGGTTATGAGTGATAACAGCATGTCAGAGCTGGCTCTGCAAGCAGCTGCCCAAGCCTTCTAGCTCGAGCTTGGTAACTTCTTACCTGTCCTCAGCAATACAGATCTTGAAATGAGAACTCTGTTAATGTGTGACACATGCCAATGGGTGCTCTCAATATTGTTCTGTCCTCTTGTTTATTGACAGGTATGGTTTCACTTTTCTAGGACTCGAAAATGATTTCATGAAAATCCGAAACCAAAAGAATGAAACTGAAATGTAAGTGCCACAGGGCCTGCTAGGAATATTGCTGCTGGGGTTAAATGGACTCTGTTCAGCTTTGTCTCACATGTGGGTTAATTAAGCTCAATCAATGTGGTAAACCAGGCAAGGTCAAAACTGCTCAGCAAAGGTTGTCAGACCAGTTACTGACCTGCACAGCCCCTGCTCCCTTGTGCAGTGAGCAGGCTGAAGGACTTGCTTGCAAAGGCCTGCTGTCAGTCCTGCAGAAGCCTTCAGATCCCTTGAGTGTGTCCTGCCCTTGCAGTCTCCTTCCTTCCCCAGAACCTGATGGGTAGCAGCTGCGCCTTCAAGCAGGTCACAGCCTAAGCAGTGTAATACTGCTACCATTGCCCCTCCCAGATGGAAAATAATTTGTTTTTATGCTGTGCTCACAGCTCCTGTGATATCCACGTGCATGCAAAAAGCTGGGAGTGAATTGCCTAACCCCAGTTCTCCCCTACTGTTTGCCCCTCAAGCAAGTTTCACTTCTCTGGATAGTCAGTGTGGAGCTGTCCTAAGAGCTATTTTCCTTGTACTGAGCCTAAGCTCAATTTTTTTCCCTTTTAAAGGTATCAGCTTCTCCATACACTGAACTTTGACCCTGTCCGTCGCCGTATGAGTGTCATTGTGAGAACCACCTCAGGTACAGCTAACTGCACAAATATGAAACACACCTTCTTTGTTCTTACCCTGAGTGTATGTAATGTCATGAGCTGTAACCCAGAGAATTGAGGCTGCTGGGTTTTCTGAGCTGTCTAGGTACATTAACGCATTTTGTCCAGCCTTTTGCAGAAAGCTTGCTCAGGGACAGGTAGTGACGCTCAGTAGTCCAGCCCAATATCAAAGAATATTTTGTATAGGTGACAGACCACTTTTGGGTTGCTTCTACGTGTTCCTCCTTTAGTTCTGCCATACTTTTTCTTCTGTATCTTTTGCTGGTGTTGAAGCCAACGTCCATTAAGCCTTTCTATGGCTTTTGGATGCTATAAACTATTTATAACTTTGCTTTTAGGAAAGCTGCTTCTCTTCTGTAAAGGAGCAGACTCCTCTATTTTTCCAAGAGTGCAGCAAGAAGAAATCCAACAAACTAAAGTCCATGTGGACCGCAATGCTATGGTGAGCATGCAGTGGGGGTATGGCTGGCTCTGGGCTCAGGAAAGTTGTATGCCAAAAATAGGGATGTGACCTCGCTTTGGAGGGAAGTACTGAAAATCCAAGTGTCACTCCTTATTGTTTTGAAGCCTGGTTTCTTTCCTTTTCTGTTTCTTTGACTTCCATGTTTATTTGACTTTCGATATACTTATATGGGTTTGATTGCAGTTGTGTCCCGGCATCTCCCGAGCAAGCTAAAAATAGCACTAACAATAGCACACTGTTTGCTCTGGTGGGAGGAATCTTTGTGTCAGCTGTGATGTGCATGTGAAGGTGGAAGAGAAGCCTGGCCTAGGAGGCTGATCTGGCAATGGTGGTGGTGTGGGGGAGTGCCCCTTCCTTGGCTCTGGGTGTGGGGGCACTCAGTTGTCCCAGCTGGATGTAGGATCTCCACTCTGGCCCTGCCCTTGGCTTCTGTCTGCTGTGCTGCATGCATGTGTGTGTGCTCTGATGTGAAGAAGTTCCTGTGTGAACACAGATGTTGTCTTCTGACTTCATCCAACTGTCGTTATGTACTGTTATGGTCAGGTTCAGTACTGACAAAGTGCTGATGGGAGAAGTGCTGATCCTAATGTGGGGAGCTGCACAAATCAGGGTTTAAGGGCAGCTGTCTGCTTCTTTTTCCACCCCTACAAGGATGGCTACCGAACACTTTGTGTGGCATTCAAGGAACTAACTCAAAAGGAGTATGACAGGATTGACCGGCAGCTTAATGAAGCAAAGATGGCTCTGCAGGACAGGGAAGAAAAGATGGCAAAGGTCTTTGAAGATACAGAAGCAGACATGCACTTGATTGGGGCGACTGCAGTAGAAGACAGGTAAACAGGCACCAGCACACAGACCAAGCACGTTGCTACCAATGGTTTCTCCACAACTTTGTGTTGTGGTGGGCCCTTGCTTTCTTGTGTGAGGCGTGGTGAGATTCCTTTTCAGCCTGGGTTGGCATTCCCTTGGTTAGGGGACAGCCTGGGAGCAGTGGGAGAAAACTTGAAGCATCCCTGTGAGAGCTGAGCAGCAGGGCAGAGGCCTGGAGCATCCAGGGCAATTACTCTGTGGTACAACCCGTTACATAGTGCCTAGCTATGTAAAAATCAGCTACTGTAGGAATTAGGATTTATTAGTGAAACCACAGAAGTACTCACACTTCTACAAAGTGAATGAATGCATGCATCAATTTACATATCAAAAAAATTCAGTTTTGTGTGCTGTTACAGTAAGTGCAGTGTAAATTAACCTCTTATTCTTGACTCTTGGGTCTTGTAGTATAATGCAGTAATTTTTGTCTGCATGTAAAAAATTGGGATTGCTGAGCTCTAATCCTTATTCCTGTGGCAGCAGTCTCTACAGTGTGGGGACAATCAATTAACTTCTCTCTAGCTTACATTCCCTACCTGCAAAATAAGGATGCCTTAGGGGGCTTTGTGGATTAAGAGGCAGTATTGGCTAAGCCTCTTTACGCCCACGAAGTGCTGTATCTCAGAAACATGTTTCTGAGGTTCCTGCCTGGGGCCTGCAGGGAAGGGCTCCACAGCTTTCTCTGAGGGTCTCGTTTATCACAACTCTCTTGAGCTGTGCATATAATGTAGAGCTGCTTCAGGGTCATCCTGCTTCTGTCCAGCGGTGTGGTGGTGCTTCTGCATGCAGGACTGTGTGCTAGCTCTTGGTGTGAAGGTGGCCTGGTGGCCAGGACATGTGCAGTGCTCAGAGTCCATCCACTTTGGTGTCAGCCCAGCTTTGTGACTCCCTGCCTGGTGAACTGCTGGTTTGGGGATTTGAAGCACTGTTGGGATGAGAGAGGCTGGGGAATCATTGACGTGCCACCGCAGTAGCGTGGAGCTGCTCAGAGTCTGCCTTGCATCCAAAGCCACCCTGAGCAGTGATATTTTTTTTTCCTCTTTGCACTCAGGCTGCAGGAACAGTCAGCAGAGACGATCGAGGCTCTGCATGCTGCTGGTATGAAGGTGTGGGTACTGACAGGGGACAAGATGGAGACTGCCAAGTCCACCTGCTATGCCTGCAGGCTCTTCCAGACTAGCACTGAGCTGCTGGAGCTGACAGCCAGGGTGGTGGGTGAGAGCGAGAGGAAGGAGGACCGGCTGCACGAGCTGCTGATGGACTACCACAAAAGGCTGATCCAGGATGTTCCCAAACCCCGGGGTAGCCTCAAGAGGTGAGTGGTGAGATCCAAGCCTGTGTCTGTTAGGAGACACGCTGCTTGCTGTCTCCTTTGCTTTGCTTCTTTGCATCGTTATCTCTAGTGTTAGCTGGCTTTGAATTTAATTATGCAGCTCCCCTAGCGAAGGACGCGTGCTAAATCCAGGCTTTTTATGATATCTAAGCCCCCCAGAAAGGATGAGGGAAAGATTACTATACAAGTAGTTCCTTTTCCAGTGAGATGATATAAGCAGCTAGATTGACTTCTTCAAGTAACTGATTGCTTTTTTCCGAATCTGTTCCTCGTTGTGCCTTAGAAGCTGGACACTGAGTCAAGAATACGGCTTGATTATAGATGGCTCAACGCTGTCGCTGATACTCAATCCTTCTCAGGATTCCAGTTCTAGTCATTACAAAAACATATTTCTACAAATCTGCCTGAAGTGTACTGCAGTTCTGTGCTGCCGGATGGCTCCTCTGCAGAAAGCGCAGGTATTTCCTTTTTTTCCCCACCCCCCAGTAACTGAAGCATGTCATTAAGTGTTATAACGCACCTTTACTCCATTGGATGGACTTGACCTGATCTGGAGGTGGGCTTCAAAACCTGTAGTGAGACAACTTTGCAAACCACATCGTATCTGGCTTCTTGTTTTTGGGGGGGTCAGCTGCCATCACTGGGTAGTAGATGTTGAAGTTGAGCAAAAGGCTCCAGGAGGGGTGTTGCAAAGCAGTTTGTTATTCCCCAGGGAGCAGGAAACGAAGCGCCTGGCACAGAAACTCAAAATGCAGCAGTGTTGCTAGAACAGTCTGAGTTACAGATTTGCCAGGAAGATGAAGCAGGAAGACTTTTGGGGTAGCAAAAAAAACCTTCAACAAGTTGTAGTCAAGTATTCCTTTCATTAAAGACGTTTTTTTGGAAGTAGCTGATAGATGTAACCTCTGATTATTTCTGTATAACGGTGTGAGGCTACATTTCCTGCAGTGCTGCTTTAAATAAAGCTTACTCATCTTGATCAGCTAGGACTTCCCCAGGCTATGTATTAGCCTTGTCTGAACTTCAGAGCTTTATGGAAACACACCAGTCTTTCAATTATGAATATAAAACCTTTCTTAAATATGCTTGCAGGAAGCCACAAGCCCGAGCCAATTAGGAATAAACAAAACCCATTTGTTCTTTTTTTTCCTTTCCAACTCTGTAGTCCACGACTTCCTTACACCAGCTGATGATAAAGGATGATTAAACAGTGCATTTTTAACCCTGTTCCAGGTTATGATTGTCTTCCACAATCATACGTGAAGTGCGTGAGAGGCCACATCTCTGTGAGAGAGCAGGGTCTGGCAGGGGGGAAGGAAAGGCTGCTGCTGGGAGTGATTTGTTTCTAAATGCTGTCCTTCAGCCCTGTGAAACTGAGTCTTGGCTTTTCCTCTGGTTGATGGTTGCAAAGGACATAGTGAGGGTGTTGATTAATCTGAACTCTCATTTTGCTGCCATAGAGCTAGGTTACTTGTTCAGGAGTATCTGGGGAGTTGCAGAGGTCTCTGGAGGTGGAGTATTTTTCAGTGTGGTTTTTTTTTGTTTATTTTCTACTGAACTATACTGAACTCTGTCCTGTTTTAAATCTTCAGATTGTGCGAATGGTGAAGAACACAAAAGGGAGCCCGATAACACTATCAGTAGGGGACGGTGCGAATGATGTTAGTATGATTTTGGAAGCACATGTTGGAATAGGTAAGACCCCTGATACACCCATCCGATACCTGGAGCTTCTGTCAGTCTGTGTTGCTTACGTTCTCTGTTGTAACTGATCACACATGGCTGAACCAATCCCACTTGACAGATGGGGATGTCACCTGCTGCTTTCAGAGGGCTTTTGGTCCAGATCAGTGCTTGGGATCGTGGTAGGCTGCTGCCCTTTGATAGGCACATGCTCTTTGTCTTTACCATGTGGTTAACTGCAGATTGCTTCTTACACTTTAGTTCCCATTGGGAAACAGTGGGGTTTTCTGCTGTCCTCTGTGCAGACAAAGGTTGATTCTATCTTAAATGAAACAAGTAACTTCCTCTGACCTTTGCTTCACTATTAAATCCAGTGCTGAGGGTTTTGGTGGGATTGTACCCACTCATCTCAGCTGAGCTGAAGCTGGCATTTGTCCTTTACCCAAATATGTGCAGGAGCCTGGCAGCTCTGACTGCAGCTGCAAAATCTTCCTAGGGCTGATGCTGGGCTGTGCTGTGCCTGCCCTGTCCAAATGCCTGATGTCAGGCTGGAAAACTGCTGAATTTCATATCTAAATTTCTGCAGATTGTTGTCAGAGATTGTGGAAGTACTGACAGTTTTTCAAGTACCACTGAAGAGGGATGTCCTTTCTTTTCTAACCACCCTCTTTATTTTTGACTGTTGGAAATGGCATGTTAGCCTCTAATGAATAGAATCTTTCACTGTAGTTAATTTGGATGTGATTTTTGAGTGAACAAAACCAGCTTTCTTGAGCTTTGCTCTGAGGGGGATCTCTTGGGAGGCTGAGCTTCTGCAGTGTAATAACCACGCTGCTAGATGTGGGCAGGCCTGGGGGAAACCTTATCTTTTATCAGGTTTATCTGAGATGCTCGTCACCACATGCTCCTACATAAGAACTCAGTTAGCAACCCAAGTTCAGGTTAAAAACTCCAGAGGAGTGTCTGTCACAGAGCCAAGGCCACACCAAGTCTTGCAGAGCTTTAGTGTTGCTCTCCCAGTGGCTCCCAGGGTCAGTTGCAGTGGCTGGGTACACAGGGTGACAAGGACATGTCTAAAATGTAAAAGTCTTAAAAAACCACAAAGGAAATATGGCCTTTGTCATGGCCTGAAGCACTCAATTATGTGACCAAATTTCACAAGTAGCATCAGTATAAATTTCAGTCCTTGCATTGCTTTTGTCTCCAGGAATAAAAGGCAAAGAAGGACGTCAGGCTGCAAGAAACAGTGACTATGCTGTTCCAAAGTTTAAACACTTAAGAAAATTGCTACTAGCACATGGGCATTTGTATTACGTGAGAATAGCACACCTTGTACAGTATTTCTTCTATAAGGTAAGGATGTGTGTTCAGGTCATTATTTTTGTTTTCACTGTGGGTTTCTCTGACAATAGAAATAGTGTAAAACAGAAAGATGTATAGAATACTCTGTTTTGTTCACTAGGGGTGGATGTGTGTCTCCCATGTGCCTTTTAATTGAAAGTCCTTAATACAGGGGAATGTGAGAGTGTGACTTTCTTCCCTTGTCTTCTGCTGGTGCTAGAAGCTTACTGGAACAGTGTAGAGTTTGGTAGAAAACAGTGTCCTGCTTTATCTGATAGTGCAATATCAGATAATACTGTCTGAAAATGGGAAAAATTATTGGATTTAGAGTGAAAAGTCAAGCATTCACTAAACTCATGAATGCTTCCCTGCTAACCTTTCTTTTTTCATTTCTCTAGAACCTTTGCTTCATTTTACCACAATTTTTATACCAGTTCTTCTGTGGATTCTCACAGCAGGTAACTTCCAGTAACGTGTCTAAAAAGACAGGATAAAAAGGCAGTTACACAGCAAGGCTTCCTAGCAGAAGCTTGACTTTTGATCATCCCTCCTCCTCCTCATCTTTCTTTGGATGACATTAGGAATTGACCTCCTTGCTCAGTACCATGTTTTTGAGCAATTGCAATTAATTGCAATTAAAAACAAACAAATAAATTTACTTTCCTTTCCCATCCCTGACCCGTTTTTTTGTTGCTTAAACATGAATGGAGACCTTCCCAAAGTACCAGGGAGGTGTCATAGCTGGTTTGCCAGCATCTAATTTTGCTACTTACACTCTGGAAAGTCTTTCAAAGACTTCCTGATTTTCTCTCATCTGCTGCATTTCCCTGTACTAAAACTGTACAAAAAGAAGAACAGATTGTTCTTTTGTAACATCCTGTAAATAAGACACATGATGAGTGTCATCACTTAGTCCAGATGAGTGTCAGAAGGACAGACCTCTGTGACAGGTGGGCTCAGGTGCTTGGAGGCAATAGCTGTGGCATTTGTTTGTTTCTGTTCTTTTCTGTCTGCTTGGTCTTAAAAGCGTAAGATTTTGTTCTCTGCCTGTCTCAGCAAAACCACTTTTTTATTAAAAAAAAAAAAAGAAAAAAGAAAAACTGTAGTTCCTCTTAAAAAAGAAGTCTTTAGAAAGTCACAGGAGACATCAAGTGTATTAATAGAAACAGCAGCACAAGAGCAGCTACAGAAAAGCTGCAGTAACGGCTGTTTTATGACGTTGTTCTGGAGGTCATGCTGGAGCCCAGACAGGCACAGAGTGTGACCCACATCTGTGACAAAGGGATGAGTCCATGGGGTGGATACAGGGACAAGGGCTGGAAACTGCAAATCTGTCTCTGGGAAGGCTTTTCAAGTGGAATTTCTGTCTCATTTTACCCCTTCTTTTCAGCCACTGTACGATGCTGCTTACCTTACCATGTACAACATCTGTTTCACATCTCTCCCCATCCTGGCTTACAGCCTCCTGGAGCAGCACATCAATATTGACACACTGACCTCAGATCCACAGCTGTATATGTAAGTTGCAAGGGGCTGGATGGGCCTCAGTACACTTTAAGCCTTGTTGGTGCAGGACACAATCCATTGGGGTGGTTTGAGCCAGTGTACCTGCCCTGTGATAGGGACAGGGTAGCTGTGGAACTGCAGAAAGGCTGTTTATATCCCCAGTGCTTCGTATTAGAGCTGAGCAATATCTTATGTATTGCCTATTCCTGTTTACTCTCTTTAATGGTATCTGGTCCAACAAGTTGCACTTCTGTCTGTGTAAAGAAAAAACAAACTGCAGATGGAATTCTTCATCCATAGGTAAAAGCAAGCTGCAAGTCTGGCAAGAGCATTCATTTGTATTAGCTCTGAGCTGGGCAATGTGAGCCAAGCACTTCCTGGAGCACATAATGGATGGAGGGGAAATCTAGCTTTGAGAAGAAGAGATCTGTTCTTTTACAGGAAGGTGAATGCTGCTGAAGTCCAGCTCAGGCAGGCAGTTCCTCAGCTTGTGTAGGTGGATAAATGCCCCAAAAGCCAAATCCTCATTTCAGAACATGAGAGCTGATAACTGTTCTCACAATTACCTCCACATTGCCATGGATAGCACTGTGTAAGAAGAGATGGTCTTCATCTCTTGTGCTGGCATATTTCTCTCCTCCCTTGGTTGCAACTTGGGGTATCCCTGACCCCCTACGAGACCCCAGATGCTTCCAATTTCCCCCACCCCTTTCCACGCATGTACCTGGGTGCAGTCTTTCAGGCAGCAGGTAAGGTATTATTTCTGAAATAACTGCTCAGCTCTATGGTTAAACTTCTGAGCTCCTCCAGACACGTAGCAAAATGCACATATTTTCAAATACGTTTGTAATTGAATCTTGTGCAGCACAGACCAATAATAGCAGACTCCTGTGCTCTCACCTGCAGGCTGTCTGATCACTGGGGTATGTGAATTGAGGGAAAACAGATTAATTGTGCATTTAGATAGCTTCAGTTTGAATATTCATGACTTTTCATGTGCTGCTGAATACAGAATGACTACTGTGCCTCTGCTGTATAAATGCTGAGTTGCTGCAGTGCAGATCTCTCATCTGAGGCACAGTAAAAGCCTGTTTACGATGAGTGCTGCAGGACATAAATGGGAATGCAAAATGATTGCATTGAACAGCTCTTTGCATTTTCCCTTCTTGCAAAAAATAGCTTTTAGTAAGGAGCACAGACAAATCAGACTGATTCCAAAGTACAGTATGTTAGAGAACTGTCACTGCAGTACAAGGGATTCCAGTAGTGTTTTGCTTTAGAAATTGTATTTACAGAAGTTCAGCACCACGCCTGCTTTCAGAGTGCATCTTGCTGCAGATAGTTGTAGTTAGGAAGACAAAATGAGAAGAGAGGATTTTTGGTTTTGCTATAAACATGCTTTCATCCCTCATCAACCCTCAGATTTTAAGGAGGACCGTCTGAAAAGACAGTGATGCATGGCGCAGGGAGCTGCTGCTGTCTGCAGCCAGATGTCACTCCTGTGCTCAGCCAGGAGCCTCCTGCTAAACCCCCCCGTGCTAAAACCCACGGAGTGATTCAGGGGGTTATTTTCAGCCTATGCAAAAAAAACACCAGGAATGAGATTTGCAGAGCTTTCCCAAAAAAGTTTGTGGGCTCAACAAAAAGAGGGAAGCGTGCCACAGATTCACCACATCTCATATGTTTCTTCAGCATAGCCCTGGCTTTAAAATTCAGAAGTGAAGTATGGAAGGGCTGAGGAAGCAGAGTGGCTATGCAAAAGGCATGGGGCAGCATTTTGCTTTGCTCAGACAGGGATGGGATTTTGTCTGCATCATATACAGAAGGATAAAAAATAATAATCTCTCGAATATCTTCTGATTATTTATTTATTTTTAAATGATAGCAGCCACACAGAGCAGATGTTGTTTATGTCCTGCATGCTGGCAGACAGTTGGGTGTTTTACTTCTTAGTTTCCTGCAGCAACGCCCACATCAAACCCACAGAAACGCAGGGCTTTGCAGCAGGTTCCACATAACGGTGATTTTCTTGTTCTTGCTTTCTTGGCAGGAAAGTTTCTGACAATGCCATGCTGCAGTGGAGGCCTTTTTTGTACTGGACCTTCCTGGGCGCCTTTGAAGGACTCGTGTTTTTCTTTGGGGTTTATTTTCTTTTTCAAAATTCATCATTGGAAGATAATGGAAAGGTAACAACCCCCCCCCCCCAA